GTCCTCAATCTTTGCCAGGATGGCGGTGATATTAGTTTTAAAATCTTCCATATTCTCAGCCCTGGGCCCGATGAAGTAGGAGCTAATGAGCTCATGCGGAGTGATATTCTCCCCTGGATTTCTTGGAGCGGCCATATTGTTGACGATTCTGTGATAACTAGCACTCGATCTGCGGGTTATAAAAGAAGCTGTTGTCCGTCAGACAGTGTCCCGGCTCAGACTCCTATATTTATAATTTTCCTCTATCTCCAGTGCTCTGTTTGCGCCGCCAATATTGCCATAACGGACTCACGACGGAGTGGATCTCCCCTACTTTGAAGCTACCCCGCCTACCTCAGCTGATTCAACTAGCTTTCTATCATGCAAGAGTAGACGCAAGTGTGACACTGGAGGTGCGGGATTTATGCATAAGACACACATTAGCCATTGTCCAGAGCTGAAAGGTAGCATACTCTTACCTTATGGATATATGATGGCCACGTCGTCGAGCACGACCAACCAGCTGCCTGAGAATATATTTCCACAAGCTGCATAATAATTGTACCATGGTATCAAAGCACCTGTACATACTTCCCATAATGTCTCAATTCGATTGACCTGCCAATGAACAGCTGAGTCGAGGCTCGTGCGTCACTCATTGGTACTGCGAGAAGTATCGTGTCGATGGGCATACATGCATCTCGATATCATCAATATCAAAGTAGTATGCTCGGGCCGCCGACGTGGCCTTATTGTTCTCCACGATGAGGCCTGGTATGATCCTCTTGGCTATGTTCGCACTAAATGATTGATTGCCGTTGAAATGCATTGGTGTTTTGCATGGTCTTCTCCCTATTCCTGTACTCGAGAATGTGTAGTGGAATTCATGTCTTCATAGTGAAGGCGAAGCATAAACTCGGAATTTGACATTCATTTATACCATAAAAATAAGTGGTCCTAGATTTGAAACTAGAGAATAGTTCCAACGGGGGATTATACTAGATCTCCCAAAAACCCCACAGAACGCAATGCCACGCACGAACAAATAATCTATGCGCCGCCACTTCCGCGTCGATCCACCGACCTGCAACAAGCCACCAATGTAGGCCATCATCGATAATCTAGTTTGTTTGAGCGTGCAGTTGGCATTTAGAGGGCATCCAATCAAGCGAAGCCCATCATCCTTTGTTGCTGCCCGTCAGAAACAACTGACTCGCAAATCCCGAAGCCCGGAATTCCCCTGGGCCGTCCAATTCATCCAAACGGTACATCAAACCCCTGTTAACCGCCTGCAACTCACACTACAACTGTCCGCACAGACATCAGTGATAATCGCCACGTCATTATCAGCAGATAGGTAAGCCAGAATGATAGTACAGAGCGCAATGTTACTAGCATTTACACATGCTAGAGCATGGACTGATTGAGGTTTATTTGCTTCTTACGGCTACTACGTCTCGCAACGGGCGGAATTTCCATTCCCGCGCACCAGACAAATCGAGCCACGACCGAGTGGGCAGTTTTGTATGTGAAACAGAATTATCTCACTGGAGGGATATTATCATTATCTTTTGGCAAATCATTGTCGGCGGTTCCCTGTCACACCCATGCGGGCTACTGTATTGGGGCGATAACCCCTCATTTCCGGCAATAAGGCTCGGGACCCAGGAGATGCACAGATTTGGAGCACATCATAAGTTATTGAACTGCTGCCGCATCATTATGGATTTATCACTCGCTCAACCTTCCCAACTGGGTAGATTCAGCGCTATCAGCGAGCATAATGAATTCATTGTTCGAGTGTATTGACTTGCTGTTCATAGGCATACAGTGTGCCACGATTCATGCAACGGCCGGGAACATTGCGGTACGAAGGTCCTGGTTAAACAGGTTATAATAAATGGGAATATTGAGAGCAAAAGGACGGCCTTGCACCTATGCGCATTGATCCAAGCCAACCTACCACAGTAAGAGTACCTTAGAAGTGGTGCTTGGACCTCTCATCTTGATGCGAGTCCCCTAATGTGGAAATCTATCTCAGGAATTGTGCGGCACAGATCGAGTGTAGATTCCTTCTTTGTTTTGTAGGTCATGTTCGTAGTCTATGCAAAAGGGTTGTCACTATAATCGCCTGCAACCTTTCAGAGGAGGATCTAAGGAAGCGGGAGAAATGTGTGTCGTAGCCAATCAAGTATATCTGGTACATTAGGGAGCTCAACTGCGGCGGGGCGACTTCGAGAAAATCAGAAAAGAAGTAGAGTCAGATAGTTGTATACTTATCTTGCTCCCCCTCGATGCAATGCGTCCAGTTGTGTCGTATCCACAGATTAAGCAGATGGATTCTGCTTTACATATCTAGGCTTTCCGCGATAAGCCATTAATACGACGTCAGATGCCTTTTAGCCCGGTCAGGTATCCTATCGCCTGTTCAGTCTCTTATTTACCAAATATCGGTTAAGGCGCATACGCTCTCGTGAGCATTGAATTGACTTTCAGTGCATTCCTGAGTACGATTTCTTCATGAACGTTTCTATATGCTTCTACAAATAATGTAATGTCTTGTCCTCTGTGTGGATCCTTATTACAGCCTGCCGATGGGATGTACGACTGGTGAATAAAAAGCAGAAGGCTATATCCCATATGACTGAACAGCATCCAGCGGAGGAGAGACATCGATTCAAAACACGTATGCAACACATCCACCACAATCCTCACGCGGCTTCTTAACATACAAACAAACTGTTATCTCCTGACATAGCATATCTATATATGAAAACCTAAAAACATACAACAGAAGGGATTCGCTGGTGGTCACCCACCCAACTACTAACCTCCCGGCGTGTGGCTTAAGTACGGCTGAGCGGACGGGAAGCCCTGTTTTCCACACCCTATGGTCGTATGTGATAAATTATATCAAGAATACCATTGATAAGGGCAGCTATTATGTAATTGTGCGAACCAAAAGGAAAGACAAATCAAGGTTAGAGTGTACTAGACCCTGTCGTGGGTGGCAAGATTGGTCTACTTGCAGATATGTCACCACACTGACTTGAGACCTGCTTGGCAAGCAAGGGCAGCAAGATATACTGATTCGCTCGCCTAGCCATGCTAACAGTGTATAATGCTTTTTTCTGCTTTCACGTTGTATTCATGTTTTGGCGGAGTGGCGTGTTACCAACTAGACTACTCTCCTACGGCTGGGTATTCGGCCACCTTAGCGGAAATTAACCAGAAATAAGACGACCTCTTCTTTACCCCCTTTGAAAATCTTCACTCTACTTTCCTGCCAAATTCACTTGAATCGGATCTTCTGCCCTCTTTCCAATGGCGTAAACTGCGCAGCAAGCACCACAAAGCACCGTATTGGATGGCGACCGGAACAAACGGATTTTGTTGGGGCGTAAGAGGTTGCTAGCTTTGCTCGGTGTATAGGAAGCCTATGAGACACTGCATGTTGGCTTCGTGGTTATGGTATCCGCTCTTCTGGATTAATTGGTGTGCAACATGGGAATTGAGTTTCCGGGCGAGAAGGCACTGTACGATATGAGGGACCAAGTCGTTAATGATTAAACTAGAGAGCCTGGAAGATTAACCCAAGCCCTGACACCCAGCCCTCCACTGACCTAAGGTATTGGCTGAAGGCGTTAGTTTTAACAAGATAGCGGATCACATGCTCTGTGATAGCATGGTTGCATCTCACTCAGCTACAGCTTCATATCCCATCAAGACTCGGACAAGGATGAAAGGTCTGAAGCGATGTCAGTGCACCCAGCGCTTTCCTATCGACGATTATTGAGATAATTTGGGTCATTCTGTCCCTGACTTCCCTAGTTTATAGCGCAAGATTGTACATGATATTCTGATAATACCTCTAACCCATGACGGGTACTATCGATCTTCCAGGAGGGTTGTCCCCTCGAATGAATCTGTAATTAATCAAACACTGATGCAGGTTAGACCTGCTAATAAGGAAAAAAGCTTTGAGGGTCACCTAGATGGTAACCGGAGTATCTTCTATCTTGAGTGTGGCTGTGAAAGGACATAAGCCTTGGGTAACACTCCCGTTCGTGACCATTTTCATTCACTTGTGTCCACTCATCAGTGGGGCTTCTTGGGATATGTCCAGTACGGATTGCAGAACCATTCACGTGAGGGCGTAAAGTACGATTGTGCTTCATTGGCCTAGGAGTTTGCAGGCATTGTTGCGTTTGCCATCGCCAAATGTGTCTCCCACGTATACGAGGCTTTGTAGAATTGGGGCACATCAACCCATGGATGTGTTACTTGAGTGCTTGGCTTTACTTCGCGTGTCCGGTAAAGACGGGGCTCAGTGCATGATGGGAAGTTGGTGTAGCCAATCAAACAATTGAGCGGAGGTTCTAAGTGCTTACAAAAGATGTATTGAGAGGATCCCATCTGGACTGTTATGAGACCGCTTTCATGCCTAATGCACACTCCCTCATGTTATCTCAGCTTCTAATCGGTTCAAAGAATTCCGAGACTGTGAAAAGTATTAAGCCTCCTCTTTCTTCTTCCTTTTTTTTTTTTTTTTTTTTTGGCCCTCTTTCCCTTATCTTTTCTTCTTCCTCATCCTTCTCCTTCTCTGTCTTCCTGTTCCCCTTAGTTTCTTTCCCTTACTCACAGTGCGACAGACCTCCCCGGTGGCAGTGCCCACCTGAATCGAAAGAGATATATCTCAGTCAGAGGGTAACTTGAGGCAAAGTTAGTAGGTGGCTCCCAGCATATGCTGCTACAAAATGGTCGCTCAGTTTCCTGATTGAACTATTGGCTCAAATTATTGAAAAATATATTGCCGAGCTAAATTAGTTGGAGTATATGATATACTGTTATAATTTATGATTTCCGCAATGCAGTCCACTAACAACCCTCCTGTTGCGCAGCTTGCAGACCGGTAGCCTCCGGCCTAACCCTATGCGGCTCTGGGCTATTCCCAGGGGCCGTTCCGTAGTATCATCCGCGATAAATCTCGATATACTTTATATAGGTTTCACCTAGATGGGCTCCGAGTCGCCTTCCGGGGCCGTGAGGTCGGTGCCAGGTCCCGCGCAACACTCCCCGCCCCGAAGAAAGACAAGTGTGACAAAGTTACGTTATATGAGTTGATTAATCTGCTCCTTTCCCGCAAACGGACAGACATCATGATTACTAACCCCAGAACACGGTGACTGATCAGCTCAGTCGGCGTCATCTCCCAACAGTCCCCAATCGAGGTCATCCACTTCGCCATTCTCTTCCATCTCGTCCAAGGCATCAAAGGCCAAATAACAACCCTCATCATCCCGAAAGAAATCACCGACTTCATCCGTCTGTCCCGAGCTGGTTGCTAACACCTTCATGATGCATTTCACATCCTGCGAGCGACTCAGTCTCAACACCAGCTTCAGTACCGTGAGCATATCTGTCAAGTAACTGTCCGTCTCGTAGCATCCAATCTCGTCAATGATTATAGAGAAGATGGTGGTTGAGGGAAGCTGGCGGACAAGCCACTCGAATAAGTTAGCGAGGGTTGCCATGTGGCCTCTAGCTAGGTTTTGGAGATGCAAATCTTTGGCAGTCGCATTCCCGGGCCACAATGAGAAGTTAAACGCATGTTGGTGTAACATTTGCGTGATGAATGAAACCAGCATGGCGACTCCTCCGGAGCGGTGACTTAGTGCATTTGGATGATTGCAACTGTCTATGGAGCTACAGGATGAGCTGTTGTCGTCGTCCTCGTCGTGCAAGGAACAGAACCATACGACCCGCACGTGGCCTTCCCGGCCCTGAAGAGTGGAGCAGACCAGGGCGGTGATCAGGGACATCCCAGAGAGTTCATAGCCATCCGCATCCGGGTCGCCTTGGATGAGAAGCTCGCTAGAAGATGGAGAGACCAGCCAACGCCGGAATTCAGGGCTGGACACAGCGGCTTCCGCCCGGCCACGGGATGAGGAAGGCATCTGCAGGCGGTGGTACAGGATATGGGTGATATCGACAGCGTCGTTGTGGTGAACACCTAGTGTGGCTATGAGCTGGTCCCGGGTGACGGGCATGGGCGGCGGTGCTACAACCCAAGGAGGAAAGAGAAACCATGCTGGCGGGGGAGTTGGCATCATGAAAGAGGCCATGAACCCAGTTGGCATGGCTATAGTCTGATATTGAGGTTGTGCGGCGGGGGTCGGACGATAAGAGTCTGAGATTTCGAGCGTGTCGAGTCTCCCTGTTCGTTAGAAAAGTCGACTCTGTCAGCTGCTGAGGGGCTGAAGGGGAGGATAGATGATATCGATAGCATACCGCACAGACTCTTCAACATCGCTTTCTGTTCCTCGCGGAACCTCTTCTCCTGTTCTTCCGATTCGTGTTGGTATCGGAGAACTCGATCCTCTGCCTCCTGCAAGAGGTCCTTGATCATGTTCATCATGCGGGCGTTCCGGACATCTGCGAGCAGAATTGCGTGGTCTACCTTTCGCATGTTGGCGTGACACATCGCCGTTAAATTTCCTGTCTGCTCAAAAAGCATGCCAAATGCGGTCCGGTTGCTATGGATATTTGCCTCGCTAGCCAGACTCGCTAGGCGGGAGCTGTGACGATCTATTTCTTTTATACTGGCAGTCAGGGCGCCCTGGTAACCTTTTCCTTGCGTCACGGAGTCCCAGATTCGCTTGACTGCGCCGAACGGTCAACAACGAGATGAACACATTTCCTCCTGACAGCGTACCTTGATGGCTTAGGAAAAACTCGATTGCATCTTCAATGGCTTTCAGGATTGCCACCACCAAATCAACAGATGTACTTCGTATTTTGGGATCTCGGGGAAAGGTAGCAAGAAAGAATTCGATCCTTTCAAAGTCGTCCTCCAGCGTTTTGGGATCCAGGGCCTTTGTTACCTGCTCGCGCACCTGGGAAGCCATGGCTGCAGCCTGTTTCCTTCTAGTCAGGATCCGTCGGTCAAAGTGTTTCTAAACAAATCTGCTATTTAGAGAGGGAAAACTACACTCACATCAAGTAGGATATCTACAATAACCAAGAAAGGGGAGATATAGTCCACCTGTCCAGCAATCTTGTTGATAGTCTTCAGCTGGTCGGTCTTCCCCGCAATGTCGCGATACGATTTGCGGAAGAGTGCTTTCGCATTCCGACGTTTGGGAATATCATATTGACCCCGAGCTTTCTCCAACTGACTGCAGACGCCCTGCCAGCTCCGTTGATCCCGGATGCTATACTGAGTCTTGGTGCGTCCTCGGGGCTCCGGGTACTGCCGTTTCAATCCTTTCATAGACTCCGGGAGGATTTGAGACCAGAATTTCATGGCGTTGACTGGGGCTGACTCCGGACGCGACGGAATCTGTTCCTCAGCCGAACTCGAGGTCCAGGTCGGCACAAATCTCTGGGCGTTTGCATCATATTGAAGGTGCGTATGATTGAACGCCGGATGCACTTCGGGCAGGCGGTTCTCGATAAAGTCTATCGTCGCAGCCCGTCGAGGGGGACCCGGCCGTGACACCTTTGCTGTATGCATTGTGAAGGCTTCAATAGGAAGTATCATCAAGGGTACCTGTAAGGATGCCGTGAAGGCAAAATGGACTAGGAAGGCCGAGGGGTTGGAGGGGTGATGCGGAGGAACTTTGGCCGGAAAGAAGATATCAGTCGGCCCAGAAGTCAATCCCTTGGAGAAAGGCTCCTAGCTGTCGTAGCCAGGTCTGCAGGCAGCCTATTGATTGACTGATACGATCACGGAGCAAAGAAAAGTCAGAAGGCAACCATCGACCACCACGAAAGAAGCGTGGTTGGGCGCAGCTGCCCGGTCAACGACCATTGCTACCTTCTGAACCCCTGCTCAACAGGTCCCGGATGAGGGGGTATGGACGCAAAAATTAGTCTAAATTACAGAGCTGAGGGTGACCTTTACCCTAAGAACCATTGGGGCAACCGGGCAATCGATGGATCTGATACGTCGAATGCGACGCGCCACGATGCATGTCAGCCGCACGTATCCACATCAGTGCCAGAGTCCACTCCGGTTGACGTGGAAGCCACCCATGCCAATCACCTTGCATGGATCGGGCTTCATGGCCCGTCGGCGACGTTCGGGGACTCGGAGAAAGACCGTCAATACCGGTCGGGGGAGCCCCCTTGACGATTGAAATACCGCGCACTGATTCCGGGTTGGTACCAGCCTTCTGCACAGTTGTTTTAGCGTTGCATGTGCTGTCTGCGTCGGGTGAACACTATACGGAGGTATCAGCGCAGTCTGAGAATCTATCGTCATCCCTCGCCGGTTGGCACACAGCTTGCAGTTTGTCAACTATGAATGGTTCAACAGCAGAGGAGATGGGAGTGAAAGAGATGGATCAGGTCGAGGATCGGCTCGACCCGCCCTGCAGTTCCATCAACCAGCTGGTGGACAAGGTGAACCAGTTGCAACGGGAGCTGGAAGAGGAGCGCAGAAAACGCGAGGACATGCAACATAAGCTTCTGGAATCAGGGCCCAATCCTTCGATGGGGAGACCCTGGATGGTCGAATTGGATATAACACAGGCGCGTTCGTATGACGACACTGATTTTCGAGACTACGTCAGCAGACGCCTAAATAATACTCTGGGATCTATGGATCTCGAGAGGATGCAGGGGCGCAAACGGATAATGATGAGTGCTATGGAGGCTGAACTGGCCTGGTTAAAACGGGAGGATGAAGTATGGTCGAAATTGTCACGTGATGCTGCCGAGGAGCGCGAACGCACTGCCCAGATGAAAGAACGACTGCTTCAACTGGAGGCTCAAAGCGCCCACTGGGACGCCCAACAGAAGTCCAAGGAGCCGGAGGGAGGGGAAAGCGAGGCGGGTGCGGTGGTTGTGGAAACAGCGGCTGATGAGGCGGATCGATGGCCGACCCCTCGCCTCAATCGGACAGAGTGGAGATCCTTCACGCGGCTTGAGAGTAACTTCACCTTGGATGTTCTTGACGATGAACCTTCGATGACATATGTGCCTTACTATACCTGGGGCCGAAAGGCTTCACGGCCAATCGACGACGAAATCTCGACCGCCAAGAAGAAACAGTTTGCTCCAGGCCAAGGGCCCATGCCCGAGCGCATCCGTATCAACTCCCGCCACATCATCGCGACTCTGCAGAAGCTGGATTCAAAAAACTTTGAAGATGAACGAGAGCCTCTGATCATGGTTCGACCCTTTAAAGCGCTGGTATACTTGGAAGAGCATATTCTGCAAATCCACCAGGCACTGAAGGAGAAGCATCAGATTCAGTCGGACGGCTGCCAGGAGCTAAGCACGCTGCAGGATCATGGCCCTGATGGATTAAAGGATGCCCAGGTATCTGGTCAGCAAGAGAATGGAGCCGATCAAGAGGGTGAACCAAGTGAGGAACGACAGGAGGAATTGAGCCCTGTGGCCAAAGTCCTTCAGGATCCCTATACGTCGTCGCTAGTGGCCCTGGAGCAGTGGCAGGTGCTTGTCGAGTTCCTGAATACGGATCTGAGGATGAAGATGGAGTGGCTCCGAAGTGACAAGTGTCAGAAGGTGGCCTTTGCTGACTTATGGTATCTCTTCAAGCCTGGGGACGAGGTGGTAGACCAAGGGGGAAGGCAAGCGTATCGGGTGATTGGGGTGACCAGCCCAAGTCACCAGTTTATTTCCCCGTATCGCACCTTTGGCGCTGGATCCAACAAACCCGAGACATCCCCGGTGATCATATTTTGTGTGTACATCGATTTCGACGGGAAGATTCTTGGCCCGGTGCTTAGGCAATTTGCCATTCCCCGGTTTGATGGGGAGAAGGCAGTGACCTCCTTGCGCGTGTGCCCAATGAGGTTTGCTGAAGTCCGCCTGGGAGAAGACTCAAGTCAAGGCAGCTTTCGAGGGAAGCTGATTTCTCGAGGGAGGCAGTTTATAAACGTGATCTCCTCCCAGAAACACATGCACTATAGCGGTCTCACGTTGGACAGTCGAGAGCAGGTGGATGGACAAGTGGTTATTGACTTCGAAAGAGCCCTGGAAACCAAGGACCGCGATCAGAGTAAAAGAGTTAAGGATGACAGCAGCGATGCCACGGACACCGAAGATGAGCCGGGTGGGGAAGATGAAGAAGGAGAGAATATGACATGGCGCCCGAAAATTGGCAGTTTGCTTGGAGTCGATCTCCCTCACTTAAAGGCCAGGGAATGCTACGAATTTTGCTGCAGGCAGGAGCAGGTGTTTGCCGATCAGTGGGCCGAGGTCAAGCGCACTGAAAACTATTGCAACAGCCTTGTGCCCGAGGAGCGCTGGCGAGAGCCTTCGCTGGCCATCGAACCTCGGGCCAAAGGCGCCCCCTCACTTGACAGGGGACTGGGAGAGGAAGACTACGTGATTATGAGCTACCGCGTGTTTGGATTCATCCTGCGGAGCCGCAAATGGGGTAAGCACAGGTTTCCAACCCCCATCAATTAGAACTTTACGGACTGACCAATGTGAAGCCAAGCTCAATCTCACTCATCTCAGCTATATTCGACGACCTCGGGGAGACACAAGTGCAGGAGATCAGCAACAGGACATGGCCTTTCATCAACTCGTCCTTGAGGAAGAGCACAAGAACATGTTGCTGTCACTGGTGGCACAACATTACCGTGACAAGGAGTCCCCGACGGCCGGGAACGAACAAGTGGACATTGTTCGAGGAAAAGGTATCCGCGTCACTGTGATCACATGTCGTTAGATTGGCTAACGACCATTGCTAGGCAAGGGTCTTATCATTCTCCTCCACGGCGCCCCTGGAGTGGGGAAAACCACAACAGCAGGTGCGTGTGCCTTGAGGGAAAGGGAGTAAGAAGCCCCTTTGCTAACCATGACCTGAACCATCCAGAGGGCGTTGCAGAGTTATTTGAAAAGCCGCTGTTTCAAATTACCTGTGGTATGGCAGCACGGGTCCCTAGAGAATTTATGTACGGCCATTAACTGACTGGGGACGGCGATGTAGGCGACCTGGGGAGCACTGCCGAGCATGTCGAGCGCGCGCTGGAGACCAATTTTGCCTTGGCCAACCGATGGGGATGTATTTTGCTGCTCGATGAGGCAGACGTCTTTCTAGCCAAGCGATCCCCTCAAGATTTTATCCGAAATGGGTTGGTGTCCGGTAAGGAGATGACCCATGCCTGGCCCGATATGTTGTCTCCGACTAATACTTGGACTAGTCTTCCTCCGGGTGCTCGAATACTATGCGGGAATTCTATTCCTTACTACCAATCGCATCGGGGACTTTGATGAGGCATTTAGCTCCCGGATTCACATCAGCCTGCACTACCCACAGCTGACTGATAAAGCTACCGCCGAGATCTTTCAGCTCAATATTCGGCTAATGAGGGACCGTTTTCGACGCAAGAATCGCAGACTCACCATTGACGAAGATGAAATTTTAGCTTATGCGTTGGACTACTGGAAAAGGTATGAGACCATGCGATGGAATGGCCGGCAGATTCGGAACGCCTGCCAGACAGCTCTGGCCCTTGCAGAATTCGATGCTGGCGGCGGAAACCACGAAGAGATCCTTGATCCGAATGCGGAGGTTAAGCTGTCTGTCACTCAATTCAGAACGGTAGCCAAAGCCTATCGGGAGTTCATGTACTATTTGAACAAGTTGTATAAGACGGATCAAGATCGCCTGGCTCACAAAAGGGGTCTCCGAGCTCGAGAGCTGCATGGGAAGGAGATGGACACGTTAGACGGAAAAGGCCCGTTTGATGAAGGGGAAACCCATCTTCCGTCTCAAAATCTGAGCGAGCAGCATCAGTCACCCTCAAGGTTGACCTCAACCGCCACGGTGATGAGCCCCCAGATGGGATCTACTGGCCTGGCGGCGGAATACCCAAACGGGCTTGCTGGAAACTATCCCTCAGCGATGCTGCAGGCCCAAGCTGGATACGGATTTCTCAACCCCACGATGGGACCGCAACAGCAGCCTCAGCAACAGCAACAAGTTCCCCTGAATCCGCACCAGAATGCTCAAATGTTGCATAATATTAATCCGGCGTTGTATCAACAGTTCCTTGTCCCGCAGAGTCAGATGCAGCCGGCGACCGGGTTTCCGGGGGCTATGCAGGGTCAGCCAGGCTTCATGGGAGATGGTACACATCACAAGCCTTGAACTGAGGTCTGTTTATGCTTTCTCCGTTGCCCTTGAATTCGGTTTCAATTTCTATCTTGGTTTTGTCGTTGTTCAATTATTGTTCCTGCCACCCGCAATTCGGAACTCATTCTGGAAGGGAAGTCTGGTTCCTTGGCTTCGTCGAAAACCCTGGATATGAGGCTTTGGTCCTAACATGGTCCGTGTGTGTGGTACTCGTCCATAACAGAGTTTAAACCCTCTTTCCTCGGAAATATGAGTAGTATGATAAGAATGAGCATAACTGCGTATGCCAAAAATTTTCGAGTGAGCAAAATGCTACTAATGCCAATCTGATTCCTGACCAAGGATAGCTACTAGTAAACAAGACACCAAATGCAACTCAGTACCTGTGGGGAGTGGGGAGACCCCAAGAAGACCTTCCGATCGCCTTTAGGTCAACCCAACTTTCACCTTCGCAGCGGCACCCGCCGCTAAGGTTGATACCGGAACTCCACTTGACACTTATCATCATAAAAGTAATTACATACGACCAGAGGGTGTGGAAAACAGGGCTTCCCGTCCACTCAGCCTTACTTTAGCCACCTGAGTCCGTAGAGTTGATTGTCGAAGATCCTTCCTCGCTTTTTTGTTGTTGTTTCTGAACTTGTCCTTCTCTACTTGTCGTCGAACCTTGACAATTGTACAGAGAGTGGGACCATTAATGAGACACTTTGGGAACCACCACTATTTGACACTTAGCAAACTGAGACATGTTACTCCGCTACGGCCAGAGAACACCTATCATTGGCATGTTCTGCAGGTAAGTTCGTATTATTTCTTTGTCGCGTAACGCTCAGACACAGTCTGAAACAATAACAAGGCGTTGCTGGTTACCGGGACAAACTATTGAACTTTGGCTACGCCAGCACGACCTGCCATTGGCCTGTGCTCGTATGACAGTAGGAGACTCCAAGTCTCTAGCTTCACGTTTGAGGAGGGTGAGTCCTCCACCAACTGCCTCCTTTAGTGCCACTAATAGCAAGTTACAGGAAATCCGCAGCAGCACCCTCATGAGATTCACACACTCCTACCACGCCTCGAATTTTGGCTCACAATCTTACAGCTTCTTCCAATATATTTATATTCCTGGAATTGGCTCCTTTCTGGAAGGTGACCTTTAGGATAGTCTAGCCGCCGATGTCGTACATCGCTTAGTTCAACACTCATGGCCATGTAGTAGACCCTTGAGTCTACATTCAAGCAAGCCTTCTTAGGACGCTCCCTTCCCCTCGTCCTCCTCCTCCTCACCTCTCAAAGATCTTCGCGCGGCTTCCAAATCTTGACATGAAATTACAGAACATTGTGAGACGTCGTGTCATGGAGCTTCTAGATTGTTCCCAACATGCTACCTAAGCTCCCCCTCCAACCATTGTGTCATCGACAGAGCAAATAGGCACGTATTGTCTACATCTCCGGCTCTCGCGTCAACCTTATAAGTCCACATACCGGTCCTCAGAAACATTTTAAGAATCTGAAAATCTAGTAAAATATCACTGCGGCCGCTACTAGGCATGTAGTCGACCTGAACCCCACGGGCGTTACGAATAGTGAGGTGGGCTAGATCATTGAAGGGCGTAGTCCTAAATGGCCCTGTAGTAGAGACTTCATCGTCACGACTACCATCGGGATAGACAACAGAGGCGCTCACTTTGAGGGTCGCATTGACCAGGCCCTCATCGGGAAGTGCCAGCTCGTTCTTTTTGGATTCAGGCAGATAACCACGCAAGTAGATGAAGAAGACACGATTGCTTCACTGGGATGTTAATATCAATATACTATTATCAAGACTAAGCTGCACTTCAAGGAGAGGGACGATCTTACGCGATAATGGGTGTCGGGGCAATCTCAAGGAACTTGATCTTGAATATCTGGTCATCCTTTGGCACGGTGTCGTAGATGGCGTTGTTGTGGCCGGGGACCATGTTTTCTTCTTGGGCCATAATATCCTCGCTGACAAGCAATTCTTGCTGTGTGGGGTTGGTATTGACAAGAACAGCGAGTGTAGCGGTGCAAAGAGACAAAATTTGCAGAAGAATTGAATTCATCGCGTGGCAGTGGTTGTGGATTTAAAGACAGCTCAGGGTAAGCTTAGCAATGAGGGACGAGAGGAGTGCTGGCTTTATGTCACTTGACTGCCTCCCGATAGCTGCCCTAGGTAAGCTAGGGGCTTACCACAGCGCTCCGGACTATAACAGATATACCCAATCTTGGATCTAGTTCCATGTTCTAGAGAGGTTAACTTTCTCTAGACTTTCTTTGTATGGGTGCCTCCGGGTAGAGTACGTGCCTGCAACGGGATTTAAACCTGTAGTTTCTCGATACTAATACTAAGAAGAGAGTTTGTTTATCTCTTCTTGTACAAGTAGGGCCTTCCTGGTGATGATCTACCACTACGCCACTGCAGGCTCTAACGGGTCGGTCACCTAGTCCCTTGACGCTTCCTTTAAAATTCTGTACACCTTAGCGGAAGCGAGGCGAGTCAATCCGAGTCATGCTTGTTGGCGTAGCGGCAGTGTTGGGACTTTTTGTTTGAGCCACAAGGTCTCAGGGTTTCGTGTAACTTGTAGGAGAAAATGGGGTACATCCGGTTCTGATCTCCCCAGAGTAGCTCTGTGGGTTGGGATGGCTGTCAACCATCAGGGTTTTCCTCCGTTCAACGTGACATTGCATGTAACTATTGTACTAAATATGTACTAGCAGCGTAAACGGACCCTGGCAGAGATTTTATCTGGTCCAGCAAGATGGCACATAAGAGATGTGAAATAACCCATTCCAAACGATTGTAGCGCTAGGGTCGCCGGTTTATAGGCACCCATCCGTCTATTGACCGCACACAAGCCACACGATGGCAGGTTAGTACTTGAGTGGGTGACAACCAGGTCTCACTTGTGCATTCAAAGGGTTTTGGTGAGTGGGCTGTGCTGTGCCATGCTGTCTACCTGGCGAAACCTGTATACGGACCCCTAGACAGGAACTACCCCTCCCCTCGTCTGCGGCTTCAACAGCCCCAACATAACCTGTTTCGACCTCCAAGCTGCCCACTCATCCACGGATCTCGTCTCCTCCTCTTCTCCCTCAGCCAGCACCGGTATCTTCCCTCCACAGATCCTCCGCATGGATGCTGACTTCGCCGGCCTGACCAAATACGCCACACTCCGTCTCGGTACGAATGCCTGTTCCCCGGGTGCAGCTAAAACCCTATGCAAGGAACTCCGTAGCAACTGACCAGTCCACTCTACTAGAGCATCACCAATATTGACCAGCGCACAGCCCGGCAAGGGTCGAACAAAACGCCAATTCTCCATCTTATTCTCGAGCCCCGCAGGGAGGATCTGCAGACCTCCAATAACCTGGAATAGCAGCGTCGTTGTCCCAATATCTGTGTGTCCGCCTAACGAGATGCGATCTTGATTCGCTTCACCGGATGCGTGGGGAGGGCTGCATAGCAAGCGGACAGATGTCTCGGACTCCTGATCTAGTGGACTGAGTTTGCTCAGTGTACCGCGTTCGAGGCCGAGATGGTCATCCAGCGTTTTAAGAATCACGTCTAGAGTTGATGAAGCGTGGCGGATAAAATTCTGGATCCGAGGGCGCTGTGCCTCGATCGGAGGTGCGTTGGTGCGGGGAGCACGATTACCAAGGATATCGTCCTGATTAATGTTGTAGAGGTGCATGTGGTCGAGCTTGCCGTCGTCGGTTTTGAGCGCTCCCATGCGCTTATAGCCTGTAAGGTCTTTGGGCGCGTTGTAGGCGTATTGGTCGAGTGTTGTCTGGTCGAGGGAATAGAGCTCGTTGTCCAGATCGAACATGGTTTCTGCATCGTGGAGGAGGGTCCTGCCTTCTGCAGAGTCGTGTAAGTCGATTAGGAAGAATCCCCATTCGCGGCCGGCGGCAAATAATCTTTCTCCTTCGGTTGGGTTGCCGGATTGTAGGTCCGAAAATGAGAGAACGGGAAGGTCGATGGTCGGCGTGTCAGCGGGGAAGGGGGGAGCTTGGGCGAAGTAGCGAGTGGTGGGCATTGCTGGAGTGGATGTGTCTTTGTGACGTTTATATGAATGAGTCGGCTTTACGTTGGGATTCGTTGGGGATAGTGGGATACATATAATGTATTCACGGCTACAAGGAGATGAGGACGAAGCTGCGGGGTGATACCTCTTGGTCTTCGCGAAGAGACAAATATGAGGGAAGAGACTGTCCTACTTATTCTGTTAGCCATGGAATGACAGCCTTGTGTACATGATTAGTGCTTATTGTCAGCGTCGATCGTAGCGTACTAGTGCTTACGCATTCGTCTCTCCCGCCTGGGCACTGGTCAGAATTAAATCGACACATGCGATGACAAGCAAGGATTTGGCAAAATGCTATGACAATGAATCATAAGACCAGCAGAGATCGACCAAAACCAAGGTGGGGAGACTTCTGTAGTAAGATAGATTCCTTACATCCAGTCGCACCTGCTCCTCGAACTTCGATTAAACGCATCTGAGATAACAAAACGCTTCCATCATATAAAGCCCACTACTTCCGCCAAACTGTCCCTGGTTTGAATTCTGCTTGAGCCTCACTGCATGCTTTGCGCATATTACACCCAAACGACAACATTGGCAGTCATGCAATGAGAAAGAGGATCTAAATCAAAATCATGACTGTATGTTGGCTTTAATTTACTTCGGTCTAGTTTTCATATGATTGTTCATCCATTTACCATCCCGAATATTATCAGTTTTGATACCCCTCTATACTTCACAAGTATAGATAACAATTTTTGCGTCCACGCCACCCTTCATATATATGTAGTAGTTACCTTATAATCATAATATGTATGTAGAAAAGAGAAAGTTCAGTATGAGACCAAGCACCTAATCGAATGTCTTTTACGCGACTAGCATAATGCTCTAAGCAGTAATATCACGAGCAGAGACAACCGTCGCGAACGCATCCTCCAGCTCACTCAACGCCACATTCTTCAAAGTTGCAGCCTCCACTCCAGGAATATTCCGATCGCCCACCGCATCACGCACAACCACAACCTCATAACCAAGTTCATTGCCAGCCCTGGCAGTCGTAGAGACACACACGTGCGCCATATAGCCGACCAGAACGATCTTCTTCCCAACATCCCCGAGACTGCTCAAGTACTCGTGCAATGTCGTCTGAGCGAAAGAACTAGGGAAGTTCTTGCTGATAACCTTCTCCCCAGAGACAGGAGTGAGTTCGTCGAACTCATTTTCTAGGTGCGTGCCCGGAGTGAAGACGGGAGCCCCTGGTGGGGTCTGGTGAACAACATGAACGATGTTGCTGCCGTTGTGAGTACCGTTGGTGCGATACTTAGTCAGAAGGTCCGAAATTACTTTGCGGCTGTCAGAGATGCCCTCGATCTGGAGGTGGCCGCAAGCGTACTCATTTTGAGCGTCGATGATGATCAGGGTGGAGTCCTGGACTGAAGCGGTTGATGGAGGAGCACCAAGAAGTTGGCGGAGAGATTTTGCTGGGGCGGATGAAGACATTGTGATAAACAATAACCAGGTTTGTGGATAGAAAGTATTGGCTGACGAGTAATGCTAGTCTTGTGAAGAGTGGGATATCTTGTCTGATGTGTGAGACGGAAAAGGGATCTGAACGAACAACGCAAACCTACTTATAGACAAAGACGCCTATTATATTACTCAGTATTCCGCACTTAGAGAGGCGGGGTACCTAGATGAGAATGATGTCTCATTTGGAGCCATGACCGACTCAAATAGCCCACGAGCTGACCGTGGCGAATAAGGTCATGCTATTCTTCGTCTCTATTTCTTGGCGGAATATACTTCCGTTTTGGGTTAGACCAAATGCACTGGGTCAGCGGATTCTGTTTTGTAGAATTCCTCCTGCAGATGCATCCTCGATATTTTCTGTCCATGATGTCGGTAGGAAAAATGAATGAAAATCATGGGATACAATCAACTTTGAGAGCCTGCTGATGCACCTCGTCATATTCTCAAAGATCGGGATTCTCTCAAATCGTGCTACTTGCTGCAATAATCTCTCGTAGTATTCCGTTGAAAGATTCGAGAAACGTTTGCATGGTTACTTAATAGCCTACGATCCTGATTGTTCATATGATAATCAGGAATACACATATCGATAAGACATTCCTCCAAATTTCAGTTACCATTTCTGATCAATTGACAAGGCGTTGTATACTATCTACCCCCAGTCCTTCATAACATTTAGGCCGAATGTTAAACACAACTTATGTAATAGCTGACACATCCTTAACATCCAAATGGCGTTTTTCAGGCGTCGCATTCGCCCCCATCAAGCATCATCGACGTGCATACTGTCCCCACTATTAGCTTCAGTCTAGCCTGCATTCACGAGGAAGCTAAGCCGACTAGTTGCACCCTATGGGTTTGGCTGGGATAGTTAGGATCAACGTTTACTGCTGGTGTAGCTTGCCATGAGGGTCAAGCAACGGTCCGTTTGCCAAAACTGCAGATCGAGGAAACTTGGTGTACGTGGGTCACCATTCTACATTGAAGAAAGAGGCTCATTTCATGCATAGTGCGACGGAAAGTCACCTGAGTGTAGTCAGTGTCTACTAACAGGCCGCCAATGTCCGGGGTACCCAGTGAACTGGTCCTTCGTACAGAGCCAATCAAAACCTGCCCAGAGTAGAAGATCACCATCGAACATATCAAATCGGGATCACAGCCCCCGAGACACTGCAGAACATGAAACATCCTTATCGAACATCGCTTTTCGACCGTTGGAAGAAACTCATTCGCTTCCAACTTCAGGTGCAGGCTACAACTTGCATCGTGCCGAGCAAGTTGACTTCATAATAAGAAGCTATGTGCCTAACGAAGAGTTAGAGCTCCCCGGCATTATCTCTAATGAGCCACGGCCTCGCATATGTGGATCATGGGTCGAAGTTCTTCCCAGTCTGAGCGAAAACACTGATTCTAATATCATTCTTGCTGCCTCAAAAGCTTTATCCACCTCAATTATGTCCCGGGGATCCCCAGAAAGAGTCTCGGGTGTTGACAGCACGCACAGCTACCTTAAAGCACTCAAATTGATGCGAAAAGAGCTCAAGGCGGCGAATATGTCATCAGATCGAGAGCTACTGGCATCAATAATGTGCCTCAGCTTGGCAGAGGTCGGTTCTGCCACATGATATCTACTTTTAGAGGGCGCTTTGCTTATGAGATCTAGGTTATGTTTCCTGGGCCAAGTGAAGGTTTAAAGATGCATATAGATGCCGTGGCACAAATTCTTCAGGCTAATGGACCCCAGCGTTATCAAACCGGGGTTGCCCACAGGTTATTTATCGGCTTCCGCCCTTTATTGGTGAGCAATACATCCCAGTGTCCGGGGTGTTTCTAATGCCTTGTAGATGATAAACGCAATCCAATGCCGAACTCCATCTTTTCTGGGGTCTGATAACTGGAAGACGACACCATTTGCAATACTTAGCCCATCTCCAATGCAGAGTCTTCTCAGCCAGGCCGCTGCGCTTCCAATGATTTTGCATACATTGGATAACTTATCTGGTCCAGATGCTTCAGATGAAAGCCAATACGAGTGTAAACGCATATTGAACTGCTTTGATGACTTGTTGAAGGGGTTAAACCAATGGGAGGCATGTGAATCTAACATTGCGACGTCTCCCCTTTACTGGTACCGGGATCAGGATGCAGAAGAAATCCCATGTATCTGGTTTCCTAGTATTACTATGGCCAACGCAATCACCTATATCTGGGCGTTTCGTATCATATGTCTTTGCGAGATGGAGCGTCTTTCGTCGTCTCTCCCACAGCCGAGCTTTGAATACCTGAGGATCTTGAAGGAACAGCACATTGAAAGTGTCCAGATAAGTTCAGAGACACTCATGAGGCGGATATGCGAAAGCATGGAGTATCTTCTCCAGGACGAAATGAAACTTTTCGGTCCTGCTTCTACAATCCTGCCCCTTCAGGTGGCCTACGCGGTAGCCACAATGAATGGTACTCAGCACAACGTGGAATTAGGCATCCTGAAGAGAATTGTCGAGCGGCTAGTTCTCAAGGGACTCCAATCTTTTCCAATGTTGATATTTGGAAGGAACCCTTTTCTTCACAGATGGAAGAGATTATCAAACAGGTAATTGGCATAACTGATAGGTGCGTGGTTACATAGACATGCAATTGCAGTATCTGTGAGTTATATTCACAAACTGGAAGTGGATAACTAAGGGAGAATGTTGCAGGTGAATGTATAAAAGAACAAAAAAGTCTTCAATCTCGACTGACGATTCACTGGAAGCCCGTGGCAATACAATTCCCTACCGCGTGGATGTAAATCACTCACACCAGCCATGCATACCCTCCTACATCCTCAGTCTATCTTTATAAAAGTGGGCAATTACCACCATGAGGAAGTTAAATAGCTTCTAGGCAACATCACCTTAGGGAACCAAAGAAACTGCAACTTAAAGACACACAGACTCCCTAAGCCTCGGAGAACCAAACAGAAACCCCACCAAACACCCCAAAATGGACATCATCCACCACCAAAACCACCTCTCCATAACCACCGCCCTATCCTACCTCACTACACCCATCCCATCCTACTCCCTCCGCCGTATCCGAGCCGAGTTTCTCGCCGCAACTAAAACCGGGCCAACATCCCCACAATGCGATTTCATCTCATTCCGCCCAGCCAGCCCCGACCACCTCTTCGATATTATCGGCACAATAGTCGGCCCAGTCGGCAGCCTTTACGAAGGAGGCCTTTTCCATATCCACATCCGCATCCCACCATTGTATCCCGATCTACCGCCGGTATGCATGTTCATGACGAAGATTTGGCATCCGAACATTGGTCCATACGGGGAAGTCTGTTTGAATATTTTGCAAGATGAGTGGAGCCAAGCACTTTCTGTGCGGACTGTTCTACTGTCGCTCTCTGCTATGTTGGGGGATCCGGGGATGGGGGTGGAAGGTGGTAATATTGTGTATGGCTTTGCGAATGAGGACGCGGGAAGCATGTTTTTGGATAATCGGGCGATGTTTAAGATGGCTGCGAGAGATTGGACGAGCATGTATGCCTCGGGGGCGGACACCCTAGCGTGATTATTTGCAGGCGTGTGGGGTGATTATGTCTGGGGAGGCGAATCATCACATTGGCCAACGCTTTTGTACACTAGCATTTCCTAATGCAGCATACCTTTGGCAGAAAAGTCTTTACCAGGCTTTAGTTTTTAGTACAATTGCTTCCCTCTCAATAAGACACACACAGCTTTGACTCTTTGGGGAGAAAATATAAACATTGTCAAGGCCAATCAATTGTCGTTTTTGCTAGCTCGTCAGTGAGATTTTTATGACTGCCCAAGGCTAGGATAAGGACCCCCCTTATGCGGTTCAACTTGGTATCTTCCGACGAGTATCATAACTCCTATTACAAAAAGCTGATATCAAGTGCAAGAAAGTAACTAGCTAATAATCTCCAACTCAGCCTATGGTTTATGGCCAGTCATGGAGAACACCATCATGCCTGAGCAGCGAGTCCCTGGACTTCAGCCGTTTCCAACCCAACCCCATCCCCCTCATAACCATCCTGGAACCCTAATATCAACTGCCTAGCCTCCTGTTGATTCAACCCGTACCAAAGCATAACCCAACCTCCATGCTGAAATCTCCCCGTTGCGCGAGCCGAAAACCACTCAAGTCTGTCATCATCATCACGAACATTCCATACCAGTTGGGGAAAGTCTTTCGTGATCCGAACAAACATATCATCAGCAACAGCACCCGCACCCATGATCCCACTCGGGAACGTAATCAAATGCGGTGCGCCACCAGAGCCAAACGCGACGACGGCCAACGGACTCAAAGATGACGGATCATTGAAATACATCTTGAGCGGCCGATTCCTCCGCATCTCATTCACACAAAACCTCACCTCGTCGTCCCGAGCTCCCTGCCGTGCCAAAGCATGTACCAACCTCTCCTCATCCCTAAATTCCGCAGAAGTAGTACTATAAATTTTCGTTCCGCGCTCAATCAAAGTCCCTGCACCAGAGGCCGCAAAGACCTCCCGCTGCAAATCCACGGGATGAACAATCGACACACTAGACGTACCCGGTAACCCCCGCAAAAGTTCCTCCACAGCACGAATCTTCAACCTCGTCCCATACTTCACCCAGTCTTGAGCCATGAGGTCCTCAAACTCCTCGCTGAGATTAATCCTCTCGATCCTCTTCCCCGTCACCCCATGCACCAAGCCCCCCTTCTCAGCAAGATAAACCACCTTCTTCGGCTTCAACGCCCTTGCCAGCTCACTAGCGGCAAGATCCGCATTTACATTAAGCACTTGCCCATCCTTCGTCTCAGCCATAGGCGTAAGAATCGGCAGACAAGACGCCCTCATCGCCGAAACAATCGGCGCCGTCTCCACCTTCGTTATCCGTCCGACATGACCATATCTCTCCTGATCGAGGTGCTCGGCCTGGAACACACCCGCTGTGATCGGCCGCGCCTCAACCCCGAGTTCTTCGAGCGCTTGAACCAATTTAAGATTCTCCTCGAGGAAGAGTCTCCGATCAAGAGCTAGGGTCTTGCCATCTGTCACGCGGATTCCCTCCTCGAAGTGTGGTTCCACGCCTGCATCCTCGAGGATCTTGTTGAGTTGGGGTCCGGCCCCGTGCACGATAACAGGGTAGAGACCCATGCGACTGAAGAAGGCGAGGCTTGACGCGAGGGTATGCAGGTGGGTGTCGAGTATCGCACCGCCAACCTTGATGACCGCGAAGGGCTGCTGTGTAGGGGACTGAGGTGTGGTGAAGTGGGATAGGTACTGTGCTGCAGTTCGCTGGGAGTCGATGTGGTTGAGGATTTGAGCGATGGTCGACCTTGTTGAGGAGACTTGGTAGTCTATGGAGGGCGAATACTGTCGTATTTGGTGGAATGGCTGTTGTTGACCGAGGAATCTACGAACTGTGGTTTGCCCCAGGAAGGATAAGGCACAGCGGAGGAACGACATTGCAGCGGTAGGTATACCACAAGAAATTAGATATGAGCTGGCTACACCTCGGAAGGAGGGATGGAGTGAGCCATTTATGTCCTCCAGAAATCCACCTGACAACATGTGTCACCCACGAGTCTACATTTCTGCACAAGGGACTGGCTGACAACTCTTCTCCGTAATTTGTTTATAGATGCGACTAGTTCGATATCCTTAGGGGCAACACGATACAATGAACAATCCGCTAAGCTGAAGCATGATGTCTCAAATCCCGCACAAGCACAGGCCATACATACTACTCCACGGAGTACCGCCACTGAACAAATCAGAGGCAAGCCATATTTAAGCCCGCAAAAACGACGTATCACAAAACGCTGCCCACCTGCATGAGCACATTTATCTCTCCAATGACATCGGTCGCATACTAATTCTGGACCTGTTCATCCTGCAAACATCTCGGGCACGTACACGTGAAAGTGACCAACTCCTGAGCTTTATTCCGACATGCCTGCGGTTGAACGTATTCGAACAGGTCAAAGTAGAAGTGCAGCACTCTTCGTCTCAATCTAAATCTTCCAGCACAGTCACCATAAATCGGCCACGCTCGTCGACTTGGTGCGTCACCTACGTGGTAGGATGGATTAGTGAGCGACAGGTCGATTCGGGAACACGAAGTTGGGCGGGATGTGGGATGTGTGCTTACATTGGGCGCGCAAGAGTGATTGGCGAGCGTGATGCGCAAGAACACAGCTAGGCCGTATTTCTTGCCGCGCTGGACGCCCAGAGATTGGTGTGGGATGATCTACGTCGGGCCGGGGCCAAGATCTAGTCCCGGTAAATGAATGATTGATAACCACCTGCCTTTCTCATCATCCTATGGAAAAAAAAAATTTTTCTTCTTTTCTTTTCTTTTTTTTTTTTTTTTTTCTTTCGAGACTCTTGTTTCATGAGCGCAGATCAGGTCGAAGAGGGTATGGAGATCGAGGGTTACCGGGAGGATGAAGGCTTGTAGCAGATACGTTTCATCCAGAGTGGACCAGTGTTGAAGCTGGGATGGGGGCCGTGCTAGCTATTCCAGCCGCTAACAAAGCAATCTTGGTACGTGAACCGCTGATGAACGTTGGTTGGCGCGGTGCCTTGAAGCTCGAGGTACCGGGCTGCAAGGAGCCGGACGACGATCCAAAGCATGTAGTAATCGTGATCACCGGGTTCCTGGGGGGGGGGGGGG